GAGTCAGAACGCTGTCTATCAAATCTGCAGTAGAACTCATTGAGCTCGTCTGCAGGCGGGGGTCATTCATGGAGTCGGTTAGCTTGTAGTTGGTGAGGTGTTTGAGGCCTCTCCAAACCGAAGCTGAGTCACTTGCTGAGAACTGTTGGAGTTTCTCAGACGTTCAGCGTCTCTCCGCCTTGCTAAACTTGGGTTGTGACTGTGTACAAGTCTTTGTCCCCGCTCCTAAAGGCCTGATCCTTCTGCAGACGTAGTGTTCTGAGTTCCGCTGTGAACCAGGTTTGTCGTAGTTGAAACTCACCCTGGTGGATGATGGAACAGATGTACGAGGTTACAGCCTCTGTGAACTCATCCAGACTGTTGGAAGCTGTCCTGAAATCAGCTCTTGTCTCTGTCCCCAGGCTGTCGACATCACTTCCTGTGGTAACTTTGCTGTGATTGGCTTGTCATGCGGCCGCGTCGACGTCTACAACCTGCAGTCCGGCCAGCACCGCGGTTGCTATGGCAACGAGGAGAAAGGTGCGTTCAGTTGCTCTCATCTTCCTCTGTCGATGCTGTGTCTCTGTCTATCATTAACCCCGCCCCCTCCCTCTCCACCTTCTGCTGCAGCTCACAGCGGGGCGGTGCGAGGCGTTGCCACGGACGCTCTAAATCAGCTCACGCTGACCGCAGGCTCTGATTGGCTGCTCAAATTCTGGCGCTTCAAGAGTAGGAAACAGGAAGAGCAGCTGAAGCTACATTCTGCACCAGCTAGCATGATGCTACACAAAGACAGGTAGCTAATAGTTAGCATGATGTTACAGAGAGACAGGAAGCTAATAGTTAGCATGATGTCACTGAGAGATAGGCAGCTAATAGTTAGCAATATGTCACAGAGAGACAGGAAGCTAATAGTTAGCAATATGTCACAGAGAGACAGGAAGCTGATAGTTAGCATGATGTTACAGAGAGACAGGAAGCTAATAGTTAGCATGATGTCACAGAGAGACAGGAAGCTAATAGTTAGCAATATGTCACAGAGAGACAGGAAGCTGATAGTTAGCATGATGTCACAGACACAGGAAGCTGATAGTTAGCATCTGTCTCACACAGAGACAGGACGGTTGGCCCAATGCTACACAGACATGTAGCTAATGTTTTTCTGTTTTATGTTAGCGGGATGTTAGCATTAGCGCTGGATGACTTCACACTGCTGGTGGTCGACATAGAAACCAGACGGATCGTCAGGAAGTTTGCCGGTCACCGCAGCAACATCACCGACATGGTGGGTGCTGGAGAGCTAACACAGCTAATATAAGATAGCATGCTAACAGACCATTTAACAGCGTTCTATATGTATCTTATGTTTCTTCCTCAGACGTTCAGCCCTGATGGTCGCTGGCTGATTACCGTGGCGATGGACTGCACCATTCGCACCTGGGATCTCCCCTCCGGATTGTGAGAATGGAACAGTCCACTTGGCTTTCACATAAACCACTCAATCATTAAACACACACTTAAAGTTGCATTCTAAACCAAATAAACTAGCTGACGCATTTTTATTATTTCACATAATTACATTTAAATAATATTAATGCTTCTCCTTCCTCAGTCTCGTCGACTGCTTCCTGGTTGCCATGGCGCCGGTGGGCGTGTCTTTGTCGCCGACTGGAGACTTCCTGGCGACGGCTCACGTCGACAGTTTGGGAGTTTACCTCTGGTCAGAGCCAATCACCGATCTGTGTGTTTCTGTCAGCTGATCTTCTCAAGCAGCCAATCACAGTGCAGCTTTCCTCCCTCAGGACCAATAAAAGTCTGTGTGGGCCTGTTGGGCTCCGCCCTCTCCCGGCTGACTACCAACCAGTTGAGGTGACGCTTCCAGGGGTCGTGGTGGATGATTCGGGACAGGAAGTGACATCAGAGGATGCTGATGATGAGTACAAGTCAGCCGAACAGTTGGGGGCGGAGCTTGTGACGCTGTCTCTGCTGCCGGAGTCGAGATGGAAAAGTCTGCTTCACCTGGACGTCATAAAGGTCATTGGCTTCATATGAAATGTGGTTAAATCTGGCTATAAACGGTTACGTATGAAAAGTGCTCATTAGATTAATTTAATCTTAATAATTAATACAATGTTATATATGTGTATATATATAAATAATTTTCATTAGATCTACACATAATATGATTTACAGTTCAGATTTAAAATGTTTATTTAAACAATCGTGTTTGTCGTTTCCAGAGGAGGAATAAACCCGTCGCGCCTCCTGCTGCTCCGGCTGCTGCTCCCTTCTTCCTGCCGACGCTTCCTGGTCTCACGCCTCGATTTACGTCGCCCGCGGTAACCGAGCAGGAAACCAAGGTAGAGCTTCAGTTTGTCAAATCCTGAGGGGTTTTGCACAAAAGTGGAATAAAGAAATCCAGGATAAGTGAAAAGCAGCTTGACTAAAGCCCAGTTTATAGCTGTTTTTACCCCTTCTTGGGTGCGTAGACCCATTTTAGACTACGTCCTTTACAGAGTCTAACATTTACGGTTTCATAGCACAATATCACATTTTAAAAGGAAGATTTTTGAAGAGAAATCAATCAGATTGAGGAGCTTTTATGGGAAAAAATGCGTTAATATGAGCACTTGTACAAGCCGTCATTGGCAGACTATAAGGATGTCGGATGGCCTCTGATTCATGGAGGGAGATCTCCACCAACGTCTGAGTAAATAAACAAACCAAAGACGTGACTCTCTAGGTCGTCTTCAACAAAACACGTTACTCCACCTGTTGTTCTGGAGGTGAATCGCTCTGCAACACACGCAAGACTTTACAACCAGGAAGTAAAACCAGTGCGTCGACACGACTGCGCAAAAAGCCGCAGACGCAGTTGCAGAAACATGCCAGCGCCTTTAGTTTGATCTTAATCGCTTGCTGAGCCGGGATGAGGAGGAGGAGTTAAGTCAATCCAGGTGTACACATCTGGGATCAGTGCACGTCCACGGCTTTCTTAAGTAGACCACGGTGTCCGTCACAGGTCTGCTGATGCACAGATGGAGGAGACGCGCGCGGCACGTTTTTAACCCGCTGAGCAGCAACTGATGGAAACTTATGAGCAGGTGAAGCCTCTAATATGACAAAAAAAGGCAGCTGTAATTAAACAGAGAAAAGCCTGGCAGACTGAATGCGGAAGGATTTAAAAATATCTATTTACAGAAAAGTTCTCTATAAACTGTCATATATTTCTAGAATTAATGTTCATACATAACAAACAAGACTGAACAAAAAAGATAAAATATAAAAACATGTTGCATGCTGGTAAATAGGTGTTTTTTATCTTCTTGACCGGTCTGACCGGCCCGGCTGTTAACCTGGTCTGATGATGACCATGGTGATGAACTACTGGTGCATCAGCAGACCTGTGATGGACACTTTGCTGGGTTTAATTCAAGCTGCTTTCGTGCAACCAAGTCAAAACTAAATTCTTCCAGGATAACCTGAATATCCCGGCTTAATGCAATGGCCCTTTGTTTCTAAGTCTGTAAACAACAATAATAATAAATGGTTGTTGTTGTTGTTTCAGTCGAAGCTCCTGGGGGGTCTGATGTCTCACAGGTCAGAGTTCAGTTCTGATCTGGAGTCAGCTCTTCAATCTGGATCGTGTGAGTCTCAGTTTCAACGATGAAAAAGAATATTAGTTTACACGTTTTTATTATTTAATACTTTCTTCAACCAAAAAATAGTTAATATATATATATTTTTTTATCTTTTTAAGTTTTTTCTTTCATTTCCCAAAATGTTTTTGGTATTTAATGTTTTTTCAAATAGATTTTCATGATTTAGATTTTTATCAATTCAACACTTCTCAAGTTAAATTTAGTAGATTCAAATGTTTTTCTAGGGAGGTTATTTATAAAGTAAAAATAATAATAACTTCTCACCCTGTTTATTACATTAAATGTTTTTCGATAAATATTTTAATATAGATAAATCGTTCTTGTCTTTAAATTGGATTTTATTGTGGATAAAATTTAGTTTAAGAATAAAAACTTGTGTGAAGTGTGTAATAATCAATAACACTCCCATCAGTCGATCGCCCCGTGCGTCTCCTGAAGGATTGTGGGCCGGCAGCGCTCTCTGTCGAGATCACCTGTCTGACATCAGAGGGGGGCGGAGCCAGCAGCCTCCCACTTGCCTTCATTCACATGATTGACAGCATGTTGTCCAGTGGGCGGGACTTCGACCTTGCCCAAGCTTACCTGGCGCTCTTCCTGAAGGTTGGCCAATCCGAACACAGCATACAGTTTGCCGATGCTTCTGTCTTCCATTGTGGTACTTAACGTTGTTTTATTATTCTTCAGCTCCATCTCCGGACGGTGTCCCAGGACTCTGTTGCCATGGCAGCATTGCTCCGCCTTTCCTCCCGTTTGGAGGCAGGGTGGGCGGAGCTACGTGCATCTTTCGACCAATCGCTGTGTCTGTTGTCATACGCCAAAAGTGCTCTGCTGTGATTAAAAAAACAGATATTGATTAAAGAGTTGTTCCTTCTTCTCTGCATCTAAGTGATTTTATTCAACCCTTTAGTTTTGTTGAAATGATTCAATATTAAAAAGATTGTATTAAGTACATGAGTAGAACTTCTTCAGTATTAAGTACATAGGTACTAATGTGCAATACACGAGTCAAGCCTATATATAAATAATACTACCTGTATGAAGTACACATGTAGATCTTCTATGTAGTATATGAATTTGTTACACAGTACGTTTACCTATAGTACTTGGTTCTTCTTGTTGGATGACGTCACATCCTAACCGGAAGTATCCGCAGCGCTGAGTCAGACCGGAAGCAAAACAAACATCAGGATCAGCGGCCTGAGCGAACGCTGCAGAATTACCGACACTTCATTTCACTTTAGAAAAGTTTAAAAGCGTTTAATTAGTGTTCAGCGGGAAGCTTAAGAAGGCAGACAGCTGCGTCCGCGCGCGGGAAGAGCAGCGCGAGACGCGCCACGTCTCCACTGAATCACTGAACTTCCAACGCGGAAGTTCAGTGATTAAGTTGTGAACTTAAATGATACAAGTTTTAATTAAATCTTTACAGCCGTTTAACTTACGATAGCAATACCGACTTCCCCAAGTAGAGGTAATTATACAAAATATTGTGTATGTGTTTATTTACTATTTCTTAAAAAAACGCCACAGTGTCATTGCAAATACACTGAAATGTAAGTTAATTATAATTTAAAAGGGACATTTTCCTCTATTATTCCGCGTTTTATCTGGTAACGTATTAAAAAGAAGGCCACAAAACGTTTACAGCAGTAGAAGTACGCATAAACACTAAAAATGTCCTACTTTCCAAGTTTATCACAAACATTAGCACTGAAGCCTACATTTCCCACGATGCACCTGCACCGTGTGTTTTGTCGGTCTGGTGACAGCTGTCACAAATGGTTAAATGTTCTTTATGGTTTTGTCAAAGATGAAGAGAAAACTGTTTCCCCTGCTGGTGGGCGGAGTCTTCTGCGTGGTCGTGATGTCACTGTACCGCATGCTGGAGATGATGCAGGGGGCTGAGCTTCAACATCTGGAGGCACCTGCTGGACAGGTGAATGATGAGTCGACACAACTTTCAGATTCTTGTCCCTCACAATAACAAGAATATTGTCAGTGGAATTATTGAGGTGGTGTTTAATAACGTACTTATTATTATATGACATAAAAATGGCTGCACTCCATAAGTTGTACGATGAGTTGATAACATAAACATTACTGAGATCAGTAGAGTATATGATGTATTGATCGTGTACAGGATGATAGAAATCAATACATCTTTCACCACCCTGCCTGTAGGATTTTTACCGCCTCCAGCAGCAGATCGACAAGCTGGAGCGTCTCCTTAGCGCCAACAACCGGCTGGTTGTCACGCTGCGCGACTCACTGCTTCACCGCCAAGCACCGCAGGGGGGAGGGGGCGCAGTCAATGTGAGCGCAGGCTCCGCCCACAGCCCAGCTGACGCCCCACCTGGCTGTCGATTGGCCCAAGGGATGAAGGGCAGAGCCGACGGAGTGCAGGTTGGCTTTTCATTCGTAAAGAAACATGAACAAAAGTAGTCTGTTCATTAGTGTGTAAGTGTGAGTGAAGTATATTCGTAGTCGTACGGAACTTGAATGAGTCTTTGTTTGAAGCTGCTGGACGTTTACAACCTGCTGCCGTTCGACAACGCTGACGGCGGCGCCTGGAAACAAGGCTTTGAGATCAGTTACCGCGGCAACGAGTGGGATGAGCAGCCACTGGAGGTTCTCCTGGTTCCTCACTCACACAACGACCCCGGTGAGAAGCTACCAGCCCCCCGATTGGTGTCCTTAGACCAACAGGGGAAAGGGGCGGAGCCTGTACAGGCCGAAGCTCGTTGATTGGACGTCTTCGTTAAGTGTGCGTGTGTTATTTTTCAGGCTGGTTGAAGACATTTGAAAATTATTATCAGGACCAGACGAGACACATCCTCAACAACATGTTGATCAAACTGACTGAAGACAGCAGGTACTCTTCCTCATCGTCTTCTTCATCTGCATCTTCCTCTTTGTCCTCATCCTCCCTTCTTCCTCCTCAGCTTCATCACCGTCCCCATCCTTACCACATTCCTCATCTTCTTCACACGCAAACCTGTTTGATCACAACTGCTGTTTTGGATTTGTTTTCTTTGTGAAGGAGTTCAGGTTTTATCCAAATTGATTGACACTTATTCTGTTCTTCAGGAGGAAAATGATTTGGGCAGAAATCAGTTATTTCTCTAAATGGTGGAACGACATCGACGAGCAGAAGAGAGAGATGGTCAAACGGTACCTTTTATAACAATGCTTTTTATATAATTTAAAGTATTTGACCATGTCCTTTAATGTTATTATGTCATTATTAATCATGTATTTATTGCTGTTAAGTTGTGTTTGTCTGCCGCTCTGTGATTGGTCAGCCTGGTGGGGGCGGGGCAGCTGGAGCTGGTGACGGGCGGCTGGGTGATGGCCGACGAAGCAAACTCTCACTACTTCGCTCTGCTGGACCAGCTGATCGAGGGACACCAGTGGATCCAGCGACACCTGGGTTCGTGTTGCTCTGGTGACGCTTCCACTCCTTCCGCTTTGTGTGACATCACATGTGTTGTTCCTCCTTCCAGGTGTGCGGCCGAGAAGCGGCTGGGCGGTGGATCCGTTCGGCCACTCCCCCTCCATGGCCTATCTGCTGAAGGGGGCGGGGCTTAGCAACATGGTCATCCAACGCGTTCACTACGCCGTCAAGAAGCACTTCGCCCAGCAACAGACACTCGAGTTTCTATGGCGACAGAGCTGGGGTTGGATTTTTTTATGGAAAATGAAATTAGGATAAACAGAAATAATATTTAATATATAACGATGTAATTAATGAAATATAATTTAAATTATAATTACACAGTATTAGTATGTATATTAAAACAGATGAATGATTATATAAATGAATAAAGATTAGTATTATTAAAATTAGATTATGAAATAAATTCCCATACGAAAACTACTTTCGAATTTCGAAAATATGTAAATTACTAATATAAAAACGAAACAAGGTTTTATTAACAATGAATTCCTCCGCAAAAATGAAGTCAAGGAGGAAATTCCTTTGAAATCGAATGGACATTTTGTGCAAAATATGTGAGCCTTAATCCCGCCCACTTCCTTGTTGTCAGACTCCTCCCCCCGCAGCGACATCACGTGTCACATGATGCCGTTCTACAGCTACGATGTGCCGCACACGTGCGGTCCGAACCCGGCGGTTTGCTGTCAGTTTGATTTCCACCGGCTGCCGGGGGGGCGGGCCATGTGTCCATGGAAGAAATCCCCTCAGCCAATCACAGAGCAGAACGTCCAAGAGCGGTATTATTATTATTATTGACATTACTAACATCGCCGAGTGTGTTCGTAAAACAGTTTGTGACTTTTGACTTTTCTTCTTTCTTCATATCTGAGATATTTCATCTACTTTTATCAGTTTTTATTTCCACATTTTGACAGAAGTTAATCACTCTGTGAAGATTAAACTAGTTTTGTTTTAGCTGCTTGTTTTTATCTAGAACACAAATTTAAAGTGTGGAATTTTCTTATATTTTGCATGAACTCAACTTTGACAGGAAGCAGCGTCTCTTTAAAGTCTGCGAGTTGTGACGTCGTGGTGTCTGTTTCCGTGGTGACGGCGTGGTGTCTGTTTCCGTGGTGACGTCGTGGTGTCTGTTTCCGTGGTGACGTCGTGGTGTCTGTTTCCGTGGTGACGGCTTGGCGTCTGTTGCCGTGGTGACGGCGTGGTGTCTGTTTCCGTGGTGACAGCTTGGCGTCTGTTGCCGTGGTGACGGCTTGGTGTCTGTTGCCGTGGTGACGGCGTGGTGTCTGTTGCCATGGTGACGGCGTGGTGTCTGTTGCCGTGGTGACGGCGTGGTGTCTGTTGCCGTGGTGACGGCGTGCCGTCTGTCCCACAGAGCGCTCCTCCTGCTGGATCAGTACCGTCAGAAGTCCCGTCTCTTTCGCTCTCACGTCCTCTTGGTCCCGCTCGGCGACGACTTCCGCTTTGTGGAGGCGAGCGAGTGGGACGCTCAGTCCGGCAACTACCAGAAGCTCTTTGACTACTTCGACCAGCACCCGGAGCTCCACGTCAAGGTGAGACACCTGAGGCCCCTGGAAGGGGGCGGCGCCTGAGGGGGACACACCCACAGTTGGAAGTACCAGCGTTTCTTTAAATGTTCTTCTCTGCAGGCTCGCTTCGGGACTCTCTCAGATTACTTCGAGGCTCTTCATCGCCGGCTGGACGCGATGGGAACGGCTCTGCCGGCGCTGCGCGGCGACTTCTTCACCTACGCCGACCGAGACGACCACTACTGGAGCGGCTACTTCACCTCCAGACCGTTCTACAAGCGGCTGGACAGGACGCTGGAGGCCACGCTCAGGTATGCTGTCTCACCTGTGATCCAGGTTATCAATGAATGACTCGGGTACTTAATCAATCAGTGACTCGGGTACTTAATCAATCGATCAACTAATTTATTAACTTTTGTACACTGTTGATTATTTTGTGCTTCATTTCTCTCAGAGCGACAGAAATCCTCTTCAGCTTGGCATTGGCTGAAATGCGCCGTTTCCGTGGCGACGGACTTTTGGTCGCCGATTTCCCTGTGCGTGAACACTTTCGGCGTCTCACGGCAGGGAGGCGGAGCCTAGCGCTCTTTCAGCACCATGACGGTATAACCGGCACCTCCCGCGATCCCGTAGTGGTGGACTACGGCACCAGGTGACTACTTCCTGTTAGCAACGTGGATACGTTGGCATTCGGTTATAAATCTGGAATTAACAGATGGAAACTCAAAGTTAGCATGTTAGCCACATTAGCGTAACAGGTGAGGTTAAAATGTTGCATTAGCTTGTTAGGACATGAAGCTGAGCAGGAACAATGTGATGTATAAAGCATTAGCAGCACGTAGAACTCTTTCGCGTGCTAAGCGTTAGCATGTGTTTTGTCTCATTTGTCCCTCCATGCTCTCAGCTGACGGATGGCGTCGCCACTGGCAACGGTTACAGGTACCGCCTGGCTTAGCATGAGCACTTAGCGTTAGCTTCCCCCTCGCAACCCGTTCATTTAGCATTAGCATCTAACCGTCACTTCCCATCCCCCATTAAATCTGTTTCATTACTGTTTAGTTTAGTTATTACTCCTATCAAGTTAATTTATTTTACAGTGCACAGCTTAACGTCATCAACATTTACCGTATGAAGGAAAATAATCATTTCTGAACTCAAAAGAAAATGAAAAGACTAATAATTAAAGATGATCTTATTTCACAGGTTGTTTCACTCCATCATGAACCTGCGCCAGGTGCTGCAGAGCTCCGCCCACTGGCTGCTCCTACTGGACAAGAGCCAGTATTATCACAACCAATCAAAACCCTTCATGCAATTGGTGACTTTTTGAACTTTTCCTGGTCAAAACATTTTTGTAGCATTTCTGAATATGGTTTTGACTGTGAATTGTTTGCGTGGAGACAAACATCCAAGTTGTGGTTCATCTTTTTAAGGACGATGTGATATCGGCACACAACGCTCTGCCCCTGAAAACGCCGCTCGCGCTCAGCAATGAGCCCAGGTGAGAGGGCGGTGTCTCATTATGCTAAGCTAACTGAGGCTGATAGCATAGCGTTTCACAAGTTCAGATTAGTTCTTTTAGGGAAACGTGATGTTTAATCGAACTTTATTGCCCTTCAGGTCGTTGATCATCTTCAACCCGACGGAGCAGCTTCGATCCTCCGTCATCAGCGTCGTGGTCGACTCTCCGGACGCCGACGTGGTCGATGCAACAACGGGTCAACCAATGGCTGCGCAGATCTCCGCAGTGTGGGCGGAGCCGACCCAGGCGTCCACGGAACAATTCCAGGTGAAGAATTATAAATGATTTAGTGTTTTGTAGCTTTTATCTTTAAATTTGGAATCGCTTCTTCTTCTAAAATGAATCATTTCCAGTTGCACAGTTTGACGAACTGATATGTTGATTATTGCTGGATGATATTAAGTCCCTCCCCTCAACGCTTATATCTTCACCTCCAGCTCGACTTTGTGGCTGAACTTCCTCCTCTGTCACTCGTTGTGTATCATGTGACCAAAGCCTCTTTTGGCTCCGCCCACCGGGCTCGGTACACCTTTCATCGCCGCGGCAACCCGCCAGCCGTCCAGTCCGAACACTTCCAGGTGTCCGGCCTGGAGAGACCGGAGGCCGACGCCCCCCTGTCGCTTAGCAACAAGCACATCAGCATATGGAGCTCGCCGGAGACCGGCCTGCTGCAGGTCAGACTTTCAAATTAAAGGCTTGAGTTTACTGATCAGCAACACAAAGTTAAAATCACAACCAACGGAATCAAGTTTTAATTTTGTGAACTGAAACAGAAATGACTCCAAACTGTCTAATAATACTTTCATGATGATGATGATTATTATTATAATTCTTCTTATGTTTTTCATTATATTCAGTCTTCTTGTTATTACCGTCATTATTATTATTATTATTATTAAACCCTTTAGGGATTTTAATTGTTCACGTTTCATAATTTTTTTCTTTCGGCGCGTAGAAGCTGCGTCTGCTGCCCGGTCCGGTCCGGGAGGTCCAGGTCCAGTTCCTGTGGTACGGGACCCAGAGGAACCAGGACAAGAGCGGAGCCTACCTGTTCCTGCCGGGGGAGGAGGGGGCCCAGGTAAGACCAGGACCACAACCAGAACCACTGACCAAGCGCAACCAGGACTAAAATGTCGCCCCGCCCACCCCCAGCTCTACTCGTCCTCAGAGCCCCCTCTGGTTCGGGTCTCCAGAGGTCCAGTCTTCTCTGACATCACTTCCTGTTTCCGACACTTCACACACACGGTGCGGCTGTACCACCTGGACGGTAAACACATTCAACCCGTTGATCCGTTTCTATGTTTTCATTTATTTTATGTTTATTTATTTTAACAAGTGGGCTGTTTCAAAATAAAAGTCTCCTGTCTGCCCCAGGGCATGCTGGGAGATCCCTGGAGATTTCCAACATGGTGGACATCAGGTCAGAGTTCAACCGAGAGCTTGTCATGCGGCTCGTCAGCGACGTCGCCAACGGCAACCGTTTCTACAGCGACCTCAACGGTTTCCAGGTTCACTTGCATCTCACGCCTCTTCATCATGTGCTTTATTGATCGATTATTGATGATTTACTCATTTTATTCAATCAGACTTTATTGATCATTGATCAGGGATTTTTAGTAGATTGTTGATGATTATCGATGGATTGTTAATAGGGATTATTAAATAAATAATGATTTATTGGTCATTTATTGATAGGGATTATTAGTAGATTTATTTATAGATCATTCATTAGTTATTGATTCATTATTGATACTGATAGTGGTTGATTGATTGTTTATTGACGGACACATTACAGCTAGATAATTGATTGGTTATTGGTGTAGATGCAGCAGCGGCGGACCCTGCAGAAGCTGCCCCTGCAGGCCAACTTCTACCCGATGACCTCGGCGGCGTTCCTTCAGGACGCGACGAGTCGCATGTCGCTGCTGTCGGCTCAGAGTCAGGCCGTCGCATCGCTGCGACCGGGTGAGCGGCTCCTACGGATTAATGCCACGTATCATCAGGGATGTGTATTCATTGATCACTGTTTGAAAACAGGAATACATCAATACATTTGTCTGTGAAGTATAAATAAATCCGTAAACGAGTCAATGGACGGTGAAATAGTTACATGAGACCTTCATTAACCTCAGAACTGTCTACTCAACTTTGTAAGAAGATGAATGAAGCTTATTTGTCAGTGACTGTGATGACCTCTGACCTCTGACCCGTGCAGGGGAGCTGGAGGTGGTGCTGGACCGGCGGCTGCAGCAGGATGATAACCGCGGCCTCGGTCAGGGCGTCACCGACAACAAGCTGACAGCGAGTCTCTACCACCTGCTGCTGGAGGACAGGAGGGGCGGGGCTGAGGTGAGGGGGCGGGGCTCTGTTAAATGCGGCGGGAAACAACATCAACATGATATTTTTTGTGACAAATAATTAAATTATGTTTGTTTATTATGAATGACTAAAACTTTATATATATATATATATATATTCAGATACATTTGTTTAATTTAATGTTTATGTTTAATTTTCTTACTATTTTCATTTACATATATATTTTTTTGTGGTTTTATTTGGGGACAGGAAGTAGGAGGAGCCTCAGTTGAACACATGTCGCTGCTCGCCCACCTGACCTCACTGTCCCTTAATCACCTGCCAATCACCATGGTCGCGCCTAGCGACAGCCAAGTGCCAAAGCTCCGCCCCTTCCTGCCCCTCCGCTCATCACTGCCGTGCGACGTTCACCTGCTGAACCTCAGGACGCTGGAGGACTCACAGGTAACACCTGGAAACACCTGGAGGATAAAGACATCCACAAATATGGATAACAGATTTATATTAAAAAGTAAAAAAGAAATACTTTACACTGTAGTAATCGATTATTTTAATAATTGATTGTCATAATGGTTCTTTCTTTGTGGACAAACAGGAATCAGACAGTCCGTCACAGGAAGTGGCTCTACTCCTCCACAGGAAGGGCTTTGATTGTAGCTCCGCCCCCCAGGCGCCATTGCAGTGCACGTGGAGTGCGCAGGAGGAGGTGGACACGCACATACATGTCATTATTATAAATGTAAACTGTAAAGTTGTGAAAATGACATATGTCATACATGTAATGTATATAACGTCATATATCAAGTATTCCTCTCTGCAGGTGGATCTGGACCGTCTTTTCTCTCCTCTTCGGTTCCATTCGGTCCGCCGCTCCGGTCTCACTCTGCTGCGGGAAGACGACCAACCAGAATCCGCCCGGCAACCGGCGCCGCCACACGTTGCCCGCCTCCGACCGATGGAGATCAGCGCCTTCCGCGTGGAGGTCGCCTGAATAAGCAGAACTACAAACATGAAACATGAACGTCTGAATTACACTGATTATTGTTTAATGCCAAAAGGAAGAGCAGAAGAATACATAAAAAATGAAATCATTTTGAACTAAATGATAAAGATAAATTCATAAAAACTCTTTTCTCAGATCCGTAGTTTGTTAAGCGGACGACCCGCTCAATGTGAAAACATTCACATCTCTGTTGTGAATATGGAAATATCTCTGATGTCGGTCAGAGGTCATAGGTCAGAGGGAGATAAAACTGAAGTGAAGGGAAGTTGCCGTGGCAACATAAAAGGACCAAACCAGTCATTAGCTGTCCAATTAGTATGCGAGTGTGTTTCCATGGTTACTGTCAATCACAGTTTGCTTGAGACTTCCTGCTACTGCTGTTTAGTTTATTCAATGAAGTCGTATGAAAGAATGTGGTGTTGTGGGTAAAATTGTATGCGGTTGTGTAATTTACATATATAATTGTGGACGAATGTCTCCAAAGTGCACATTTCTAATTGTTTAAATATTGATTATTGTTTTGTGTATTTGCTGTGAACTGAAATCTTTGGGAAACTACTAAATGTTCTTGGAATCTTTTTAATGGGTTAGGGTTAAGTTTATTGTTTATTGTTAATTTTGGGAAAGATCTATGGTTTTAATACAAAATAAATTATTTTTTAATTTTTCTTTTTAATCCTCTTTTTGTGATCATTTAATTTGCCTTTTTGTGTCATACACATATATATATGTATATATATTTATATGTATGTGTATACATATACGACGCTTAGGAGGATGTAAACGATAAGCAGCAGCGAGCTGTATGACAACGTGTATTTGTAACAGCAGAGAGGCACCAAGAAGTTTTTAGTACCTCACTAGGAATGTGATTGATATATTTTACAGCAGGGTCTCAAACTCCGGCCCGCGGGCCTCATCCGGCCTGCAGGGGGTACCGACTTTGGTGTACCCCCCTGCCCCCCCGTCGGACCGTCAGCTTACAATCACATTAATACATACACAATATTCTTTGCTCTATTGACTATTTTCTTAATTTATTTCCATTGTATACATGTTATAGTTAATATTTATTATAATAAATATAGAAATAAATATTTTTCTCCGCTATCATCAGTTTCTTATATCGTCTTTATATGAGATTAAATATTAATGTTGTTATTTTTATTTTCAATTGTAACACGTTGCATAGATTATCTGATCAATTGATCCATTAAATGTTGACTGAACTGTCACGTGACTCGTGTCAATGTCACGTGACTAATGAGTTTTAAAAGAGTATAAACTGTCACAGCTTATTTTCTTTCTGAATAACTTCGTGTATTCGTCTTGTAATCGATTCTTTATGACGCAACAAGTTGTAAAAAAAGAACGGAGACGGAACCGTCATAAATGCTGACGGTGGAGGTGACGTCACACTGACAACGCCAGCTACCGTGAATTCTCAAGAAGAAGAAGAAGGAGGAGCGGAAGTGACGTGCAGCCAGACTTAAGACGAAAGTTACTCTCGTGACTCCCGGATGTCTGCTCAGGTGAGTCCTCGAGGGACTCAACGTGATTATGAATTATGAATTATGATAATAATCAGCTGGGGGTGTTTTGGGGAAGTATCTGCCAGCTCGCGTGGACTTTTCTTAATGTAACGCCGCTTCGCGTGCACGCGACACAGCGTCCGTGCAGCTAGAGCGTGCACGTGATCATAAAAGGTCATAAAAGTATTTGAGAGTCCGTCCAGAGCTGTCCTACGGGGTCAAGAGTCCAGGGTCTATGTCCAGGGTCTACGTCCAGGGTCCAGGGTCTAGTGTCCAGAGTCTAGTGTCCAGAGTCTAGTGTCCAGGGTCTAGATCCAGGGTCTAGTGTCTAGTTCCAGGGTCTAGTGTCCAGAGTCTAGTGTCCAGGGTCTAGTGTCCAGGGTCTAGTGTCCAGAGTCTAGTGTCCAGAGTCTAGTGTCCAGGGTCTAGTGTCCAGGGTCTAGTGTCCAGAGTCTAGTGTCCAGAGTCTAGTGTCCAGGGTCTAGTGTCCAGGGTCTAGTGTCCAGGGTCTAGGGTCCAGAGTCTAGTGTCCAGGGTCTAGTGTCCAGGGTCTAGTGTCTAGTGTCCAGGGTCTAGTGTCCAGAGTCTAGTGTCCAGGGTCTAGTGTCCAGGGTCTAGGGTCCAGAGTCTAGTGTCCAGGGTCTAGTGTCCAGGGTATAGTGTCCAGGGTCCAGTGTTTAGGGTCTAGTGTCTAGGGTCCAGAGTCTAGTGTCCAGGGTCTAGTGTCCAGTGTCTAGTGTCCAGGGTCTAGTGTCCAGAGTCTAGTGTCCAGTGTCTAGTGTCCAGTGTCTAGTGTCTAGTGTCCAGGGTCTAGTGTCCAGGGTCTAGTGTCCAGGGTCTAGTGTCTAGTGTCCAGGGTCTAGTGTCTAGTGTCCAGGGTCTAGTGTCCAGGGTCTAGGGTCCAGAGTCTAGTGTCCAGGGTCTAGTGTCCAGAGTCTAGTGTCTAGTGTCCAGGGTCTAGTGTCCAGGGTCTAGTGTCCAGGGTCTAGTGTCCAGGGTCTAGTGTCCAGAGTCTAGTGTCC